AAATATAAAAAAAAAAAACTAAGTCAACTGACAGCTTATGTTGATATTTTTTATAGCTAAGCATTTCAACATGTAACACTGAACTACCTTTACGAGTGCTTACCGAAAATAATTTGTTGTAATGTTTTCAATTTAATAAATCGATGAAAAGAGTGGGCCAATTACTACTACTTAGAGTAAATAGTCATTGAAAGTTAATGATGCTGTACGCCCAGGTCTGGCCGAATATCAACAGGCAGGGGAGCTTAAGGTCCACTTGCCAATGTTCAGTTATTATCACAATTATCCACGTCATATTGTTAAAAAAGCTAACCTGTCATTTTTAAATCTACTTGATATCTCTTAATGTAATCTCTCAAAGCTTCTCCAATGGATTCTACGGATTAATCCAAAATTGATTCCTAAAATACATATGTCTGGGCGTACAAATATAATATGCAAAGCAAATATTTGCATCACCCTATAGATGCTAGTCATATTTCCGATACACTAGCTTCGGAAATATTTCAAAGATTTCTGTGTATACCTACATAACAGTACTTTATAGATGTGCTTTATATTGTGTGCCTCGTTGTGAATATAACGTCAGGACACATAATAAAACCGTTCGTCTGTGAATTATGTTTGCATGTGAGTGGTTCAGAATGGCCAGTGCATGAAAATTATGTAGAAAATCGATGATTTCGGTTGAACGCCATCAAAGTTTTCGTGAAACGCTTTTCCTCGCAATAATATCATATAGGGGTCATGATTTTTATTTTTCTTTATTTATCGCTTAGATGAGGTCATGAGCTCACGGTGTTCCTGGTGTAAAGTGGTAACCGGAACCCACTGACATCAGCGGCTTAATTGCTGCCAGCTTCCCTTGATGCATGAGTTCCAAATATCACTTTTACAAACACCGGCTACCCCACCCTTCACACCGCAGCACATTACTGCTGCACTGGTGGTGGGACCTCTTGTGCGTGCGCGCGGGTAGGTGCTACCACCCTGCCTATTTCTGCCGTGAAGAAGTAATTATGCGTTTCATTAGAACTCATATCTCAAGGTGGGTGGCGATATTTACGTTGTAGATGTCTGTGGGCTCCAGTAACCACTTAATACCAGGTGGGCTGTGAGCTCGTCTACCCATCAAAGCAATAAAAGAAAACGGCAGAAGTAGGCAAAGTGGTGGTACCTACCCCTGCGGACTCATAAGATGTCCTAACACCAGTAACTACGCAAATCATCATTTAATTTTATGCGGTTTTGATTTTAATTACACAATTCCTTCACTGTGGAAGTCATTCGTGAACATTTGTAATCATAGACAAGCCAGCTTTATTGTTCTGTTGTATCGTTCCGTTTTTGGGAGTCGACGTAATCCGTCTCATTAGTATGATTGTTTTCAGTCGCGAGGGATCACGTCTAGTATATGCGTATTAGAATAATAAATTTTAGCAGTTAACACTTAACCATCACAATGTATCCAATTGCGACGGATCCACAAAGTAGTTGTATATAAATCGTGATTATTAAGATTTATTTTGATATCAAGGTGTCATTACAAGTTTCTTTTTATAAAATAAATATTTGTCAAGATTCGTGCGTCGGTAATAGTAAAATGTTATCACTAAATCCCAGTTTTTATGAACAATGATTCCAGCGGCGTAAAATCAGACGCAAGTCTGGTAGAGTTGACGTTTCATATTTTGACGCTCATATTTTGACGCTTTGAGGTGATACAAAAGGGTGGTCACGACCTCCAGCAGTGAGGAATACGATGCAAGGAGGATTTTGACGCTTAATAAGTATGACGTGATGACGGCCACTTAAGTTGAAACTTACTTAACTCTTAGTCCGCGCTTAGTCATATCAACGCCCGACAGATTTCCGCAGCTAAACGGCTATTCCGTTTTTAAATGGTTAGAGGTATGTTCCAAAATAAGAAAAACTTTGGCCTCTCAAAGTGGACGATAAAGCTAGTTTTCTGTAGTGTTCAAGAGATTGGTTATCTGTTAGCGCCTAACACGAGACCTGTAGTCTTGTTTAATGAACCATCAAAGCGCTGATAATGACTTTGTTACCTCAAGATGAGCGGCGGAATATGCTTAGCACTATAGGCATTTTACAAGAGGTTGACCGTCGTCTCTTTTTCTAATACTTTTTTGATAATTTACAACTCACTAAATGAGCAGCTAACTGTTAAATGTTACGATTTTAGATCCAAAAATAAAATCAGTAATTATTTTTCTGAGTCTCCTGCAATTCTAATTCCATTTCAGTCCACATAAAAAGTAAATTTCCGAAAGTTAAATATTAGCACTGATCCCTGGGAATAAGGTTTGTTTTTCAATATCAGTGATAATTTGTTTTTATTCAAACAAAATTGTACGTTTTTCATAAGTTTTGAGGATCATGTTCTCGCTTTGACGCTCTTCGTTCAAAACAAAACCACTTTTCTTTTTAATTAATAAAATTAAACACTAGACTTCAATTTAAGCTTTTTGGTTTAAATTAAAATGTTTTACAAGATTCATGTTCCCTGAGGTTATTCACTTTACATTAAACATTTAATTCAAGGATAGCGGCCACATTACCCATAAAAAAAATAAAAAAAAACATGAGACGATCTCCATCAAATTTCAATCTATGCAGCGCATTCTTTTTAATTCCTCCATGTGGTCTTCGCAGAGGAAGCACGTAAGTCAGGACTGGAACGCTGCTTCCGGATAGCCACTCGACATGGAAACCCCTTTTGCTGCTAACTTTTATTTATTTATTTTTTATTGCTTAGATGGGTGGGCGAGCTCACAGCCCACCTGGTGTTAAGTGGTTACTGGAGCCCATAGACATCTACAACGTAAATGCGCCACCCACCTTGAGATATAAGTTCTCAGTATAGTTACAACGGCTACCCCACCCTTCAAACCGAAACGCATTACTGCTTCACGGCAGAAATAGGCGGGGTGGTAAAACCTCAATCCAGCTGACGTGGCAGCCAAATACCATAAACCTCCTAAACGCGTCCTTATTGTTCCAACGGAGCTACTCTCAGTGTTATTGGGCACTTCTAGTTTAAATACTAGGAGCAGGCAGACATAGGTCACGGCATAGATAGGTCTTTGTTTTTATTGCCCTTGTAGGCAGACGAGCATACGGCCCACCTGATGGTGAGTGGTTACCGTCGCCCATGGACTTCAGCAATGTCAGGGGCAGAGCCAGGCCGCTGCCTACTGCTAAAAGGTCACAGCTACTATAAAATCCCACCCTTCTTGGCAGAGCTTGTGATCGCTTACCCGTCTTGGCGAAGATGGCCAGACCTTCGGGCCGCCATCTATTCTTCGATCCCAAAAAATGTTCAACTGAAATAAATATATCGCATATTTCTTTGTAGTACGACACGGGTGTTTGGTTCGGTACGTATGAGTACTTACTATTTACTTTATTTCAAATATGCCATTTCATTTCCTTAGAGTAGATGACTCAATCCCAATAGTAAGTAGCACAGAATAGTTTTGTGACGTCTATTTTGAAACTTCGTTCCACAATAAAACTCTGGCGCATTTGGACCGTTTAAAACAGCTGCAAACAAAAATACAACACACGTCCCGCCTAAACATTTTGCGTTTGAAATATTTTTATTTTAAGAGATACAATTTCTATGATTAACATCGCTATCGGAAGTTGAGAGCGTGTGGGATGTTTTAACCGCATGTTACGAGTTATATGGCAAGATACGTTATTAACTACTGTCTATTACTGTTTATAAAGTAGAAAGTGTTCATTAAAGCTCGCAGAATATTAGTTTTCATTTACTATATGTTCGTCGTTTTCATAGTCCAATTTCATAATGAAATGCAATAAGGCTGATGAGCTAGATTTTAATTTTGTTATCAGTTATTCCAGTCAAACTGTCGCAGCTGAAAACTCAACCTTCAACTCAACTCAACTTTCAAGCCTTTAAAGAAGGAATCTCAGAGAGCTCGAGAAATACTATTCATACTAGAGCCAGCCTGATGTTACTCGAGAAAAAGAATATTTGGAAATGAACTGTAGATGAACGCAGATTCGAGGTAACGGGAATGAAAGAATCATCTTAAGTAATTCTTCAGTAGCCAGGATTCCCCATGGAACATGTTATATACTAAACATAAGACCTTCCGTAGATGCAGTGGTTCCAAGTGACTGTTATCCGGTTTTATCCATACTTGCTTTTACACGCGGTTTCGCTCATGTCAATGTCGAAAAAATATTTTATCCCTTTGAGATGACCTTTTTTGGACTTCAACATATGGTTGGGCAGTAGCACCCTCGTGCTGGTGTTTGTGGACCGCGGCAATAATCCAATCACGAGTTGTGAGTTCCCTAATTAAGTTGAGAGATTGAATTTTATCGGTTAATCAAATTTATTGTGAGATAAATAAAACCACCGACTACATTGAAACGAACGTAATTTTATTACAATTTTAACACAACGACAATCACGAATATTTACACGATATGTACATTTGTATTATTATAATTTACAATTCTAATTAGACAAAGGTGTACAAATATTAAAACTATATTCGCTTAGCGATAGTCATAATAAATTACCTTAATAAATTCTTCACAAATAATCCTAGATCGAATATTAATGACGAATTATTTTAATACACACGTATCGCACTATTACTTAATTAATTAGTCTAAACTCAAAAACGTGCTAGTCCATTCTTATTTCATACACTTACAACGTAAAGGACGCAAATAACGACAGCCCGAAAGACGGGGCTCAAGTCTTTCAAGGCTGTCGACCAATCAGCATCCGTCTACTTCAATCAATAGATACTAAGATAGTGTCATCTTCGACGAGTGCGCACGGCTCGCGGTGGCGGCGCGAGACCCGCACTCAGAGTNTAAACTCAAAAACGTGCTAGTCCATTCTTATTTCATACACTTACAACGTAAAGGACGCAAATAACGACAGCCCGAAAGACGGGGCTCAAGTCTTTCAAGGCTGTCGACCAATCAGCATCCGTCTACTTCAATCAATAGATACTAAGATAGTGTCATCTTCGACGAGTGCGCACGGCTCGCGGTGGCGGCGCGAGACCCGCACTCAGAGTCGCGAGTGCGAGAGGCCGTTGTGCGCTATCAGGGGGGTCAAGGTCGGGGGACGCGCTTCCAGTGGCAGCACCTCGCTGGCGGCCATCGAGCGAGACGTCATCGCTGTAGACGCTTCAGAACGCGAGCCCCCGACAGCCGCAGCAAATCCACCCCTCGCCTCCGCCGCCCTGGCCTGCGCTCGTGCCCTTCTTCGCGGGATAACGCTGTTCTCAACGTGCAGAGTGGCGTTCACGTCCTTTCCGGCGGCACAAGTGCACGCTTTCAAAAAACTCTTCTTGAAATTATCAGACAGAAACGCGTAGAGGATCGGATTCATTGCGGAATTGCTGTAGCTGAAGCAGGCGGCGACAAGAAAAACAGTGATCGTTATGTGGTTCACACATTGCGATGGAGGGGAGTAGATAAGTGCCATCTGGAAGGCCCAGTACGGTAGCCAGCACAAGACGTATACAGCAATCACAGTTAATACCAACTTCGTCACTTTCCTATGAGAACGCTTCTTTTCCTTCGATTTGTTCTTTGGGCCAACTGTCTTCAATTTCCGAATGACGAGGCAGTAGAAAATGAATATAAGAGTCAGGGGCGCAGCAAAACCGAGAGCGAACGAATACAACGTGAATGTAATCTGGCCTTGGCTGAAGTCTTGTTCTGGCCATACGATATTGCAAGATAGTTTGTTTCCAATCCGAACCAATTTCGCGTACATGAATATAGGCGTCATGATTGCTGCGGACGCTGTCCAGGCGGCTGCCGATACGATTCGTGACACGCACGGTGTTCTAAGCCGAGGGGCCGCAATTGGATGACATACAGCAATGTATCTATCAGCACTCATTATACACAGGAATATACTACTGGTAAACTGATTGATCCCGGTCGAAATCATGTAAGTCTTGCACATGTAATCTCCAAAGGGCCACTTATTAAGGGACATGGTCGTAATAAGGAACGGTATCCCGATGAGGAAGCACTCGTCCGCGATGGCCAAGTTTACTATGTACATGTTGGTGACGGTCTGCATCTTGGAGTAGCGCAGGACAACGTATATGACGAGGGTGTTTCCGAGCAGGCCTACAATGCAGACCAGGGCGTACAGTACCTGCGTCACGATGGATACGTACGGAAGATTGACGATGGGACAAGTGCCCATGGTCCCGTTGAAGGTCCCGTTAAAGTCGTAGCTGTAGTTCATTTGTCTGTACAGCTCAATTTCTTCTATCTCCATTTTTACCGAAAGTGATTCTTCAAGAAGAGTAATTTACCTGCAAATAATAACACTGAATTAATTTCCTGTTTGGACCGACACCAGGATGTGACTGAAGCGTGCTTAAATATTGGCTATCGGACNACAAGTGCCCATGGTCCCGTTGAAGGTCCCGTTAAAGTCGTAGCTGTAGTTCATTTGTCTGTACAGCTCAATTTCTTCTATCTCCATTTTTACCGAAAGTGATTCTTCAAGAAGAGTAATTTACCTGCAAATAATAACACTGAATTAATTTCCTGTTTGGACCGACACCAGGATGTGACTGAAGCGTGCTTAAATATTGGCTATCGGACAGTCAGTGTGCCTGGACACATTACAGCGCCATGTGTTCAGATAAGTGCGAAATACATACATACAAATCTCGTTTAACAGTTTTATCTGCTTTTATTAGTAGTTTCGAGTGAGTGTTGCGAGTTTATGACCGTCTATGATTACAGACACACCCATTTTGGTGGCGAGCCAAAACAAATTCTCATTTGAAAGTATTTTTACTGAAGATAAATTAACTTCTTGATTTAAGTGAAATGTTTGGATTAATTTTGTATACTATTGGATTGTTTACATTTTGGAACATCAAATAGTGCCTCATTGAATTTTTGAACGTCATGCTTCTAAATTAGGTGCTGATTAGAATATATTTATAATTAATTTGATCGACGTAGTATACTATCCTACACACTCTAGTTTCTAATTTCGCTACACAGTATCTAAGCTCCTTTTAGAATTTCTTAGTATTTTAGATGAATACAGCTGCTGACGGTGTAATTTGTATTGGAGAGTAAATTAACCCCAAAGACGCGTAAATATATTAATAGTTCGGCTCGTAGCGGCATATCTGCGCCCTTATGATCGTTAGCTTTCTTAGGCATCTAACAATTGTAGTTGCTAAGTGTCTTCGATTGTAGAGAGGCTAATTTTATACGTTTTTTCTCATTAACAGGTATTCACGACGGAATGCCTGTTACAATAATAACAAGTACCTAGTTTCGGTGAGAAAATATATTACATCGCCTGTCTCTATGAAGGGTGCTTATGTACTTAGTCTGGCCATAAATACTGTTACAATAAAAAATAAATAAAAATCTATTGCAAATAACGTTTATTACTTTTACAGTGTGTTAGTTTAATACATAAATATAAAACAATTTAAAGTATAAAAAGCTTATTCGAAGTGGTCCCCATTGGCTGCAATACAGTCCTTTAAACGTTGAGGCCAGTTATCAATAGAAGCACGCACTCTTTCCATGGGAAAATTTTTCACTGCCAATCGTACGGATTGTTTTAGGGACTCCAAATTATCATGGCGTTTAGAACAAGCCGTACTCTCTAAAACTGACCATAAATCATAATCCAGCGAATTAAGATCGGGACTAGACGACGGCCAGTCTTCAGCTTTGATGAAGTCCGAAACGTTCGTTTCCAACCAAGACTGCGACAAGCTTTATGACCCGGCGCCGAATCTTTTTGGAAGGACCATTCTTGATTATTGAACATGGTGTTGTTAAGGGGCTTCACTAACTCCTCAAGAATAGTATCTTGATACACTTGTATCGATGTTTTGATACCTTTTTCACAAAAGTGTGGCTCAGTCACTCCTTTATAGCTAATACCCCACCAAACCATCACTGAAGTCGGATAGTGCCCACGTTGCACTCTGTCGACTAATTGGGAAGCTTCCTTAGAGCTTTGAGCATAAATTCAGTCATTTTGTTTGTTAAAATGTTGCTCAATTGTAAAAATTTTCTCATCCGTAAACAAAAATTTTCTATGACCTCCCTTTGCGTACCGCTTCAGTAGTTGTTTCGATTTTACCACCCTATTCTCTTTTAAATTATCAGTTAAGAAATGACCAGTACGTCTCTTATAGGCTGCAAGTTTTAAGTCATCTTTTAAAATACGCGACATGGTTCTAGGTGCTAGCTTCATCTCCCGAGATAAAATCTTTTGCTTTCGGACAGGATTTCTTCGAATTCTTTCCCTTACTGCTTTGACCACCTTTTTCGTACGAACACTACGTGGACGGCCAGATCTTTTTCTGTCACAAACAGAGGAGGTCTCATTCACCTATTAATAGACCGGTACACAAACATTTTACTAATACCAAGCTTATGGAGAGTTTTAAAAATTGCATTTGGCTCCATATCTACTTTGTGTATTGCAATCACAGCGATTCGGTTCTCTTTATCACCCCACTCCATTTTAATATCGTAAAATATTGTACAATGTATTGGCGCCAAAATGAGAAAACTCAATGAGCAATCATATAAAAAAGACAGATTCCAAATTCTAATGTAACATTTTGTTTATTTTTAATTGAAACAGTATTTATGGCCAGACTAAGTAACTAGTCAGGTCATAAGTATTGTCACACAGTAAAAACTTTTCTTTTAGAATGCTGGCCACAAAAAAGTTTATTGAATTTGAATTTCGAATTGTTCATGAAAATAAAAATGTATACTTTTAGAATTTTGCTCAGTTTTAAATATGGAGTGGACGCTTAAAGAAGACTGTGTTGCAGTTATTGCGTTGCATCGTTGCGGTTACGCGCCAATTCAAATTTTTAACATACTGAAAAATTTGAATATAACCAAAAGATTCGTTTATCGTACCATCAAACGATACAATGAAGACTCTAGTGTAGATGACAGGTCAAGAAGTGGTCGCCCTCGGTCTGTTAGGNCCGCCACCATTGTCTTAAATATAGGAAGATCCTACTCTTGCTGATTACGGATGACTACTACGGATTTGGTGGTCCAAAGTTAAGAACGTGGGAATATTTAAAACGTGTCGTGGTTGGGGATCTTGATATTGTAAGATTGAAATCATTGTCATTCATTGTCTTGTAGCGGACAGAATCACACAGCGTCACTAATTGGCTGGCCTTGATCTGTCGAAAGTGACGTGGAAGAATTATCTAAATATCATTAGCGGCTAATGGTAGATCGGAAAGACGTAATGAAGCGAACTAAATCGTAAATATCTCGTGATTGATTGTACTGTACTGTGCTGAGTGATTTTATTGGAAGAGCGTCCGGAGTCATTAGTTATAGGAATCGCTTTATTTTAGGCCAATAGCTGGGAAAGGAGACAGGCTGGTAGAGACATGTTTTTGTTTCATCGAAATACATTATGGTAAATGACAAAATTTTGAGGTTTTTTTAACAATTGGCCTTCCAAATCGAACCGCATAATTACATTGCAACGTTAATTCAGAGCCTCTTAATACTTAGCCATAGTTTGCATTTAGGATATAGCAATTGCATTTGACAGCTTGCAGTAATGGTGGTTTTATTGTGGTTGATGTGTGCCCGTACAGATTGGTAGGATTTTACGCATGCCCACCCGGCGTTCGAGTTATATAATTATTACACATATTACGTATTTGGTATACGATTCGGACTCTGGCCTTATCACTAAATGAGCGTCAGCTTTCACATTGACAAATACCAGATCAGACCAAATTTATGTCAATAAATAAGAACAGGAATGTTTGAACTTACATATTTTAGTTCCTCTTTAGTCTTGAAGTCTTGACTGATCTGAAAAGAATAAAATAATATTATAGCTTCACTATAAAATACTATAGATCTTTATAATTAATCGTTTTATTGGTACATTACCTACAAATGGTAAAAAACAATCACAAATATTTATATAAAGTGGATATTATGATCTAGTATGTATCTGGCTTGGAGGGTCAATTAAGTGTGCGCTGAAAAACTGAGTGAGGTAGTGTGGGGGGAGCGTATGGTTTTGTACCCCGGCCTACCTATTTGTGCTGCCAACAAACCACATAATATGTTTTCCGATAATGCATTAAAACACAAACTATTATTAATGTTCAATTTATTCTGCATGTGACCACTGCTGTTGTTAGTCACGATCAATTGACAATCTCATATTACCAAAATATTCACAGCGCTAATAAACCTAAAAGCCGTAAATGCGAACTCGTAAAAGACAAATTTTATTTGTTATGCCACTGACGTGACTAGATATGTATGTGGTGCTATCAAAGTGTTTCTGAGTTAAGTATTGCGACTAGATTGGTAATTAATATTTCGATGGCCAGTACGGTTGCGCAGATGGCTGGACGAGATCACGGCTTAAGTGGTTTTAAGTGATTACCGGCTCTATAGAAATCAAAAACGTAAATGCTGCAACCCATATCAAGACATGAGTTCTTAGTCTCAGTTCTATAGTACAATGTACAACGGTTGCCCCACCCTTCAAACCGAAACGCATTACTGCTTCATGGCATAAGCAGAACGCAAGACGCTCTATCAACAATAATTACGCTTTTTTTTTTTGCACGTTTGATTTTTGGAACGTGGAAGTAATTCTTAAGCATTTGTTAGGTACGTATTTCATTAGAACAATTTTATTGGTACCTGTCTTCGGGATTCGATCACCGCCACACCGGGCGTCTTGACATTTAGGCGACGACGACTTCTTACTTTTGTGACGTTCATAAATTATTGTTTTTTTGTTTTACACTTAACTAAGTGATCTATCTATTATTCAACACGGGTATTTCGGAATTAAGAAGAGCAAAATTTCTGTCTGTCCTCAATTATTAAACTATTAAATTTTCATGATTTTGAACACTAATGGTAGATCATACTGTATCGGTGCAAGTGGTTTAAATTGCTTGTTTTTAATGTAAGAAGCAAAACGCAGGCTGTTTGAATTTTGAAGGGCAAGATTCTCCTCCAATTCAATTAACTCTTCGACATTATCATGTCTTGAAGCAACGACAATTAACCTCACGTTTCCCATCACCACGAAGTGTCATTCAAGTATACGCCTTACCGTGGGCACGGGAGTTTCAAAGTACGTTAAAAATCTTGAAATCGACCCGCATTTAGTGTTAGCGTAAATACGAGCACCTCGCCGTGATTAGAACAAACCACAACAGAGCGTTGCGCCGTCGCCGCGTCGGTCGCACTCCACGCGTTTGC